GCTGCATTAAATATTACATATCTGCCGTAGTTCGCTATTTATAGAGCCCTGATGAGAAGACTTCTAGACAAATAGGAAGAACTGCCGCCTAAACTGAATATGTGACGTGGATCATAAATATATCAGCAATTAAACAAAATCTTCAATTTCTCTTCACAATATAAGTCTCCTTGCAGTATCAATACTAATTCGGCTGACTTTTATATTTGATCCAATCGGTATATTGGTATATTTACACCATAACGGTGCAAAGCTGATAGAAAGGGACACCTGGTGGTTAAAGCACGTTATTGACATTTATTATTTTTATTATTAGATATTAATGGGAGACACAGACAGACAAACTAATAAGGCTTTATTTAAACATTAAAGAATACTTTAGGTTAAGGTCTTATTTTGAATAAGAAAAAAGCTTTGGGGGTATAAATACTAAGCCTGACAAAGTACTAATATATTGCTTTCCTGCAATGTTAACTACTGTATGTTTAAGCACTTATTTTAACTGATATTATACATATGTATTATACTCTTATAAGATGTATGTAGATAGTATAAGAAATGTGCAGAATACGACAGTTTAATGGTGGAGGTATACACAGATATTGATAGATGTCTTGTAATGCACTGTTGAGGAACCTGCGACCCAAGTTGTTCATCTCCGACCTTGTCAGGTATTGAACATTCAATAAAGAATAAAGAACACAGAATTATTAAATATAAAACACAGAATTTGTGTGATTATACTAAATGATTTACAAATAAACACCACTGCATATTTACAACTGTTACACATGCTGATGTAACGCAAATGTTTCCAACTTGGGATCAATAAAGTATATCTTATCTTAAGATGATCGATGGCTACTGCCATATTTGCAAAATTTGCCTCTGAACCTTGACAAGTGCATGTTTCAGGCATATCAATTGACAACAGGAGGGGTCACAGACATAAGACCAGCTGTTAAATAAAGCTCTTGTGACCTTAGCTGTCATGTGGGTATATATTAATGCTGCCCATTATGGGCACAAGCCATTTTCACCCCATTTATTAATTATATGTTTTAAATTTGAGTGTTTCCTATCCCCTAAACCTCCAGGGATGTACACAGTTTAATACTGGCAACTTCTTATTATGGGAAATATGAAAGCGTCTTTTAAAACTACAATTCCCAGCAGAGACGTGCCATAGAACATGTTGCGAAACACACAATAGCCAGCATGTGTAGTTCTGGGGACGGGGTGGGGGAGGGGGGGGATGGGGTGGACCCGTTCAAATCCAGTTTTGGACAGTCTGTCGTGGTTCCATCCCATTTCAAAGTGCTGTTTGACGCTCGGCGTAACCCTCGGCGCACACTCAAACATCCAATCAAAGCTTGAGGACTATCACGGGGTTTGTCAAGCGAAGCTGAGAGAATACTTACTTCCGGGTGTAAAATTCTCTAAAGCAACTACTATGAGCTGCTCCGACCCTCGGTCCTGACGGACTCCAACTTGTGTTTATCAATCAAACAAATAAATACACAAAAGGATCATTGTGTGTTATTGTTGAGTAAATAACAGTGTGTGGTTTAGAAAAGAATACAAAATTAGAAGGAAAAAACAATGAAACAATACAGATTTCAGTATTCTGAGCCCCTACTCTCCCCCTAACTGACGGAAACAAAAGTCCTACATTATTCAATTAAAATAAAGAAGTAAAAACAATAAGTGTGGCTTGATATTGAGTAAGAAAAAGGTTGATAAACGCTGTGAGAATGGATCTTCGGAGAGCATTTTGCCGCGATCCCAACTTGTCTATTACCAACGTTCAGGGAGCTCTATGCAAGTCAATGGGATGCCCTGCCCGTTGAAAACTGACTCTCAAGGGGTACCCTGTCCGTAATAGAGTGACGGGGAGGGGCCCTGACCGACCGTCAGCATGTGACGGGTTGGGAGTGAGAACGTGTTGCATCTTCACCAGTCAGAAAATGTCCGTTAGCCGCGATGCTAATTTCCGCTATGTTAAACTGCATTGACTTATGCTAAAATGTTAGCGATTTCAAAATACCAAACAGATCATGCATTTTAGCCATGACTCATTTCGCTCTATTTGCTGTATTCCAGCCCTGTTTTTGCAAGGGCTGATTCTGTGGCAAATGAGCTGCAGCTGACCACGCCCCCCTGCAAAGGAGGGGGGCGAGGTACGAGCGTCATGTTACCATGCTGTTACCATGCCACGGCAACCTCTCATTCCCCTGATAGGTGGAGAGTTGCCCATATAGGCAGCGGGGGTGCTGCGGGAGTGTCTGCGTGCGCATCTCTCCCAGATGAGCTGAACAGTTTTTTTGCACGCTTTTTTTGCACGCTTTTTGCAAGCCGGGCTGTGGAGGTACAGAGGGACCAGGAGCCCTGCCCTTTTGTTTTAAATAGGGCAGATGTGTGTAAATCCTTTAAAAGGGTTAACCCACACAAGGCTCCTGGACCTGATGGCATCCCTGGCCGTGTTCTCAGGGTGTGTGCAGTTCAGCTGGCAGAGGTGTTCACAGACATCTTCAACAGGTCCCTGCTGCAGTCTGTAGTCCCCACATGCTTCAAATATTCCACTATCGTTCCTGTCCCGAAAAAGACAATCATCACCTGCCCCAACGACTACCGCCCAGTAGCACTCACCTCCACCATAATGAAGTGCTTTGAGCGGTTAGTCAAATCATTCATCACCTCCTCCCTCCCTGAATCTCTGGACCCCCTGCAGTTTGCCTACAGAGCAAACAGGTCCACAGACGACGCCATAGCCCTCACCCTCCACACTGCCCTCTCACACCTGGACCCGAAGAACAGGAACACATATGTGAGAATGCTGTTCATTGACTACAGTTCAGCATTCAATACCATTGTGCCCTCCAAGCTGGCCATCAAGCTCAGAGACCTCGGGCTCAACAGCGCCCTCTGTGACTGGATCCTGAACTTCCTGACGGGCAGACCCCAGGCAGTGCGGGTGGGAAACATCACATCCTCCACCCTGATTCTAAACACCGGTGCCCCTCAAGGCTGCGTGCTCAGCCCTCTCCTCTACTCCCTGTTCACCCACGACTGCGTGGCCACACACAGCTCCAACACCATCGTGAAGTTTGCTGATGACACGACCGCCATCGGCCAGATCACAGACGATGACGAGACGGCGTACAGAGAGGAGGTCGAAAACCTGACATCTTGGTGCCAGGATAACAACCTCCATCTCAACATCAGCAAAACAAAGGAGCTGATTGTGGATTACAGGAAGCAGCAGGGAGAGGGACACGCCCCCATCGCCATCAATGGGACTACGGTGGAGAGAGTCAAAAGCTTCAGGTTCCTTGGGGTCCACATCACTGAGAACCTGACATGGTCTCTTCACACCACCACCATCACCAAGAAAGCTCGACAGCGGCTCTTCTTCCTCCGCAGGTTGAGGAGGTTCAAAATGGATTCCAGGATACTCTGCAACTTCTACAGGTGCACGATAGAGAGTATCCTGACTGGCAGCATGACGGCCTGGTACGGCAGCTGCACCGACCTCGATCGTAAGGCTTTACAGAGGGTGGTGAAAACTGCACAGCACATCACCAGGACGGAGCTGCCATCCATGGAGGACCTTTACTCCCAGCGGCTCAGGAAGAAATCACTACGGATTATCAAAGACCCCCATCACCCCAGCCACAAACTTTTCTTTCTGTTGCGGTCTGGCAGACGTTACTGCAGCATCCTGGCAAGGACAAGAAGATTCGGAGACAGTTTCTTCCCGCGGGCAGTGAGACTGTTAAAAAATTGAACTGTTGAAACAACTTCAAACATTCATCTGCTACTCAGTAGTATGTATCTAATACCTAATATATATATATCATTCCAATAACTTTTATATAGACTCGTACTGCACTATTCCACATCATCACTTTATTTTATTTTATAACTATTATTCTTTTTGTATTGCTCTTGCTCTTATTGTTATTATGTTATTATGTTGCATTGTTGGAGAAGCCTGTGACATAAGATTTTCAACTACATAATTACTCTGTAGCTATGTCAGATTGACAATAAAGAACCTTGAACCTTGAACCTTGTTCCCTGTTTCTGACGTCAGAACAATTTCAAATCTGTATCAGTCTGCGATTCCTCTTCATCGCTCTCAGGTCAGTGTTATATATATCACTGACCAATCATTTCACCATCCACCCTGTCTGATTGGGTTCAACGTCAACTGCACTGATGTAACCCAGAGATTAAGCCTGCATTAAAGGAAGTGAAAAACGTAGGCGTATCATCTTAATTATCAAACATGTTACACAGCTAAGTAAATAATTTGTATTGGTGTAAACTAACCAAGTATTCAAGTAGTACTGTAGTACACTTTTGAGAATCTGGTAATTTACTTATAATCAACACTTACATCCGACTTTAGTAACACCTGGAGTAAAATCCACAAGCTACTCTGCAGCATAGCCTACAACATAATTAAAACTAGCTGCACCTTTAACAGCTTTGATTCAATGCATCAATAATTATAGTCAAAACCTTTAATATATTATTCTGAAATTGTCCAATTTGCATAATGAGTACTTTAACTTGTGGAACTTTAGTTACATTTTGATGCTATACTTTTCTACTTTTACTTGAGCAACATTTTAAATGCAGGACTTTTACTTGTAACAGAGTATTCCTACACTCTTCCACCTCTGGTAATTTGGGGTTTATGTATAAAGGTCGAACAAAAATTAGTTTTGGGGGTATTTAACTGTTTGTCCAATTGTCCCATGATAAGGCTATAGGGGGCGTCTGTTTCCATGTTATGGCTATGAGAGGCCCATGGTCCCCTCCGTGTTGCACAAACTCAGCGAGTTGCGTTGTCTTCACTATCTTTCTTCAAACTTTCTCTGCACTTTGACCCGACATAAAGATTGGACACTTATTAAAATATCTCCTATAATTCTACGCCGTGCTTATATGACCATTAACCCCGGTAAAGTTCACTTTCAAACAGGAGAAGTGGCTGTTTCCTCCAATGTTCACAGTTAATGCCAGACGCCGGTGTTCGGTCTGCTCACCGACAAGGACCTCCACTTTCACAAGTTGACAGAGTAACGTAAGTAAGGAGAGCTTCACTTTTCATATAAAGTTAGTTTTATAACAAAGCTATCCGACAAATAAGTTACGCTTGGTGGTCTTTAAGTGTGCGGCAGTAGCCTACAAATTAACAATGGGTTTCTAGCACAGATAAAATAGTTTATTGCAGGCCCGTAGCGTTACTTTAAGTTACAACTGTTTAGTTTCTTCTAACGTGAGCTCAGTATTATATTGAAATTAATTGTTCTTCTATGGGGTTCCCGAATTCCGACCCTGTAAACTAACACTGTTGTTTATGTGATGAGAGTTAGCTTGTGACGTATTGTGCTAATCAATTGGTGACTTTACAGCTGGGGCTATGCTAACAGTTCAGCTGGTTTTTAGGTTTAAAAAGTTACAATACATATTGAATTACAGAAATATAACAAAGCACATATTACACATTACAACACTTTTTTTAAATGCAGTAGGTGGACACCTGATTTGTTAATGTGAATGCTTGTAACTAAAACAGCATTTGTAAACTAGGTTATTCTGGAGATAATAATGGCCTGTTAATAATATGGAATACTTTTGGTTTTGTATTGCTGTATTTGCTGTGGTTTTCTTCTTCTTGACATTTCAGTAAGTGAACACCGGCTTTTGTAAAAAATACTGTGGATATTCTTATTCCATAAACTGTTTTAAACTTATTGTAAGTCGCTTTGGATAATAGCGTCAGCTAAATGCAATGTAATGTAAACTTAAATAGAGCACATTCAGTTTCTTGTTAAAGGACAGAGGACACCTTTTTGATACAAAGTATCTTAGTTTCCTTTCTAAGGTTACATTGTTGTGTTTTCTTACATAATACACATCTTATTGATATTTATTTTCGTGTTGTATTTATTTGCATCACATTTGATATTCAGGTAATCCAAAAGTAATTGAAAGTAATCAGGTTACATTACTGTTTAATTGTGATAGTTGGGTCAGGGTACTGATAACATTTTGTTGAGGTAAGTTCTAATTGTAACAAAATACAATTTTAAAGTATCCCTCCTAACCCTTATTTAGTCAGCAGACTACTGTACAGGCTATACTGTACTCATACAAGATGGCAATTAAAAACGAAAAATAGCCTTCTCACATTAAGAAGCTACAACAAGTGAATCTTTTTTAATTTAATATTTTTCCAAAAAAGAGGGTAATAAAGTGTAATTGAAAAAGTTGAATATTTTACTCATCATTGCAACTCTTAATATCTTTAGCATCTACATCAGTAAAGCACTAATAACAAGCTGTTTCTATATGCAGATCTTATATGATAATGTATACACAATTTAAAACTACATTATATTGGCTCCCAAAATGAACACACTCAAATACATTTTTGTCAGATTTCACGTGTAAATCATTTTATTTTATTCTAGTTCCTTCCGGTCATGAAGCTGCTGATCCGCCGGTATCGTCCCTCAGACAATGACACAGTGCTCCACCTGTTTAGCGTAGGCATCAACGAGCACATTGGTCCATGTTTTCGAACCGCCATGACCAGCTCTCTCCATCTCGCCATCGCCCTGGCTCTGTGTGTCGCTGGCTACCTGCTCGGCTCCGTGTTAGGGTCGGTGGTGTTACCAGGAGCCTGGGTGGGCCTCGTTTACTTCTGCTGTCATGAGGTATACGCCGGCTACGTTAGGGAGAAACTCCGGACAGACATGCAGGACATCCCGGGTAACTTTCTGAGCAGACCGGATGATTGTTTCTGGGTAGCGGACGCTGAGGTGGATGGGAGGACCCAGATCATGGGAATGGTGGCTGTGGTGGCCAAACAAAGTGGGGAAGAAAGATACGGGGAACTGTTCAGGATGATTATCTCTCCATCGTGCAGGAGGATGGGCCTGGGCTTCAAGCTGGCTCAGACTGTGGTTGATTTCTGTAAGGAGCGAGGCTTCTCCAAGGTCGTGCTGGAGACCAGCTCCATTCAGACTGCTGCTGTGTCGCTGTACGAGAAACTGGGCTTCAGCCATGTCAGGTCACACACTAACACATATTCTCATGATTGGGTAGTAGTACTGGCCAAGGTCTCTGTTTTAATAATGGAAAAACACCTGTAGTGCTGAAATGAGCCTGATGATCACTGCAATGTTGCTGGTATGCTCCTCTGTATCAGTGGATGAAGCTTTAGCACCAATAATACTTTCACTGGAATCCTAACCTGTAAGCTATGTCTCACAACACCTTTTTCAATGTCAAGTCTCAAAGTCAGAGTAAAGAGACATTTCCTTGAACTGAATGTGTGACCATCTTGTTGTAATGTTTCTAACATGACCAAATGTTGCTCGTATGAGTTTATTGGACCAACATATACCGACTGTTGATTATGTTTTTATTAATTGTAGATTCCACTACTGTTGTTTTATATCACATTTGATCAATCACATGTAATTGTTTTTACACAAAAACACAAGAAATAAACCACCTCCAAAGGTATGACCCCGCTGTGTCTTTTGCTTTAACATACCATCCTCTTTCTGACTCTCACAGGCATTGACATAAACATTTTAAAGCTATGCACACCCACGTAGGTATCATCTATCTATCTATGTATGTTTTGTTAATTTTGTACATATTGTGGTTGATTAGACTTCTGCTGAGGTGGAAATTGGGTGGAGCTCTGCTCGTATTACAGGAGGTCAACAAACTTAAACTTAATAGGAATGATAAAGCTGTAACTTCTCCATAAAGACAGTAAAACAGTCTTCCACTCTTATCACAAAGACAGTAAAACAGTCTTCCACTCTTATCACGTATATCTGTACATTGTTCATTCGTTCACTACTCACTATGGACACTGAATAGTGATGTGTAAATTGAGATTTCAGACACTCATTATTTTTGTTTTAGTAACTTAAAGCTGTTAAGTAACTTATAAATATCATTATGTACAGTATGATCATCATCAAAACAACTGCTTTTAAATGAAAAAGTCTGTAAGAGGTATTCAAAGGAGGGAGTGTTTCTAAGGTAAGGTAGACGTTTACTATGACAGGCAGAGGTCAAAACATTTACCTTTAAAGAAAGTAGTTATACCACATATTTTACAAAAATCCTGAATTTTAAATAGAAGTTAAAGCTATACGAAAAATAATTAAAGTCTCATTTGAGTGCTGTACTTGAATATATGTAGAATACTTTATTTACTTCTGCTGAACCATCATTCACGTGTTATTTATTGCTTTGGTACTCATTACTATAACTTGCATTACCAATTGTGTCAATTACTGAGAATCCTGTAATGTAAAAACTGCAATTGCAAGACTAGACACTATTGAGTGTCACTCAGACAAATGGCGACCTCTACTGTTTATTTTTTAAACAAAGCCTCATAACCCTATTCTTCCTGGCTGAGACAGCTCCAAACAATATCACAGGTGTTAGTAATTTAGTCTCCCATAAAACTAAATAACATAAACCATTTTTATAATGTTCAAAAGGTCTTTAAAGTCATAATGTGGTACAGGTTTAAGAATGTATTTTATAGCGTTTAAATGATTTAAATGAACAAGCACATAACCAGAGAAGTAACTAAGTACGTATTTCCATTTTGTATTTCTACCCCACTACAATTCAGAGGTAAATTGACTTTTACTCCACTACATTTATTTTGTACCTTTAGTTACTCCACAGACTTGGATTAATGATGTAAAATATAACAACACGTAAATTCACAAGCTACCCTGCAGCATACACAGTTATTAAAACTAGCTGCACCTTTACCACCTTTGAAAGGCATCGATTATTATAATCAAAACATATCCTTCTGTAATGGACCAATCTGCATAATGAGTACTTTTGGTACTTTAAGTTTTTATGATACTAATAATTGTGTACTTTTACTTGAGTAACATTTTGAAAGCAGGACTTCTACTTGTAACAGAGTATTCCTACACTCTGTTACTTCTACTTTCACTTCAGTACAAGATCTAAGTACTTCTTCCACCTCTGCACATAACCAGGGTACTAGTGTTAAAAAAAAAAAAAAAGCACTGACACAGTGTGTGATTTTACATTCTACCACTGGGTGGTGCAGCTGCATCTAAATCCATGTAAAATGTGTTTCATCCATAGACCACAGGTTCATCTACAGTCTACACTACACTGATTTTTACTTGTCCTTTGGTGTGCCTTAGGCACAAAAAGTTTGGGAACCACTGGTCTACAGTATGGGTTCATCCCGCAGGACTCACACCTGCTGATGGTGAACGGACACCTGAATGTGGTTGAGACATATTCTGTTTGGGGTAGTGAGGCCGCATCCTGTTGCATTATCAATAGCCTCATAAATCCCCAAAAATATTCCCATAATGAGAAATCATCATTTTAGATTATCTCTGATTGGGGATGTTTGTATAATAGGCCTACATGTTTTCTAGTATGTTACTTCGGTACTTCCAATTTAATGACACTTCCCCTGCATTTTTTACTACATAAAATATCTTCTGAGTTTATTAACTTTATAAGCAAGCTCTTCTACACAGTTTCTAAGGATTTGTTTATTTATTAAGATTAATTGTTGTAGTGTAAAATACCCAGCAGTATAAACTAATGTTATATCTCATATGCACCATCTTGTCATAGCTGGTGAAATAATACATAAACAGAGATTCATCACTTTAATTTTGCACTTGGTAAAAGTGGGGTTTATTTGAATTACTTTGTATAATACTTGGTAGCTTAACCTATATCAATATATGATAATGTATGAGTTCATTTAAAGCAGGGGTGGGGAACCTTTTTCCTCTCAAGGGCCATTTCAATTTTTTCAACATCCTCCGAGGGCCGTACAAATTATTGACCTCTGCTTAAAAATACTGAAATCACAGCCCATTCATTTCGCCTTTCTTTCATGCAGTGCAAAGAAAAAGCAACCTCTTAATCCAGATATCTTACTATGACTCGCATATGCATGCACGTGCACGGTGTGGCATGACCACCAAAACAGAAAGATATGGACACAAGATGTGGGCAAATGTATTTAGTTTCCTATCCATGTGGACATCATTTAAGTGGGGGGGGGGACCTAACCTCCTCTAGGGGGGGACCTAACCTCCTCTAGGGGGGGTCCGGGGGGAGCATGCGGAGATTTTTTTTTTAAATGTTGAAGTTAAAACTATCAATCTGGTGCAATTTGAGAGCAACATGAAGAGATCTATGGATACATCTCTCAACACCCATATGAAACAGAACTGTAAGCAGATGTGTGAACGTTGTGATCAGCTGTTTTAGCGCAGGGCTGCTGTACAGACCGACGTTAACAGCAGCCCTGTCTGTGCACACGGAGACCGACTCTGTCGTCCGGTGATCTAACCGCCTTCTGGAAAAGCTTCACAAGTACGTCGGTAGGCAAATGCGCTTTGTGACACAAGTGACGGTACGCATTTCAGATTGTTGCCGCGCATGCGTACCTGCGTACCAGTTATGTGCACCCCTGTTTAAATCACACAGTGGGTGTTTCTCAATCGCTATTTCAAGCATACTACGTCATTGAGTGCCGCCGAAGGACTGTTCCAATCTCCAGCATACTTGGAAATCTACCGAGCCTGGCGTACTTCGTTTGGAGAAATATCGAGGCTGCACATGAGTAGACTCCGCGGTCTTAAAATCCCCACAATGCTTTGCGCACGGACCAATTTCCCCAAATCTGTGGCGGAAGTTGTAAGGCGGGGCCTCTCATATGACGCACACTTGCTAGCCCGTTCCACTCTTCGTTTTCCGAATGCCAGGAAGTATTCTTGACTCGCTTCTGAAGCAAGATGCTCGGCAGACATGTGCTACCAAGCAAGCGTACTCGCGATTGAGAAACACCCAGTCTGTTCTTCTTCTCTCGGTTATCACGCAGTCTGTCTTCCGGTTGTTGCCTCTTTTGAATGACGAATACACGCTACCGCCGCCTGCTGGTAAGGAGAGTTATTGCCACTCACGCATGCGCAGTTCGTACGTGCTTCTTGGCCGTCGGCTGAAGTCTTTGCGGTGTGTTCCAGTGCGACACACCGCCAATCAGTAGAGATGCGAGGGGACACGACAGTCGGGGTCGGTCTGTGTCAGTTCTTTGTTATCAGATTGGTGTGTCAGGGCCTTTAGGCTCGTGTTGTGGTCAAGGACCCTGACCTTGGCCAGGAAAAACAGGCACTCGCTTGTTTAATTATTTTGCGGTCTAGATTTCTTAATTTTTTAAATTTTTTGCGTGTGTTTATAAATTACCTCGAGGGCTGTACCAAATGGTCTCGCGGTCCATATACGGCCCAGTGGCCAGAGGTTCCCCACCCCTGATTTAAAGTTCCCATGTCATGCTTTTCTGGTTATTACCCGTCCCCTTGTGTGTTATGAAGGTTTTATGCATGTAAACGGTCTGCTAAGTCACAAACCCTCAAAGTACACCCTGTAGCGAGTAAAACTCTGTAACACAGAAAAGACCTGTCTATGCTGCTCCAGAACGCCTCGTTGGAGATTTTTCTTTTTTCTTCCTGGTACCAAGTGACGTAACGACGACCAAATGGACCAATTGGTCCAAATGGACCAATCCGTGGAGCTCCTCACACACACACACTCACTCAGCCTGATCTTTTCTCAGCCGCAAATCCGCGATACTCCGCGGAGTTTCGCCGGCACACTCAGCCTTATCTTTTCTCAGCCGTGGCTCTGTGGATCTCCACTCACAGTTCGCCACACACTCACGTGTGTGTGCTCAGGCTGAGTTCAGGCTGAGTTTCGCCGTGTTTCGCTGTCTCGCAGACCCCACGCAGCAACCAGGAAACTACACCAGTAATCCAGCTCACACTGTTGGCTCCTCGAGCCTCAAAAGGCAGAGCAGCGAGCCCCGCAACGTCCCGCCAACACGGCACCCAGACCCCACGCAGCATTCTCATCTGTTTGTCATTACTGCTGTCATTTTCTGGTTGCTAACAAACGCCATTGTAACACATAAACACACATCAGAGCACAGTGGGCTCATAGGGAGGGGGGGGCAGGAGCTCCAACAAGCCGTGTAGGACAGAGAGTGAATACACATACTATACAGAGATGCTGTATGAGAAACCAATGTGATTTTGGAACATTGAACAATGTAAATCTATTATAGTAGACCTCAACAATGGAATTATGATCAGTAGAATGGCCATGACATGGGACCTTTAAATTGAGTATGTATAATCTAAATGTGCAAAGTAACTAAATCAGTCAAATAAATGTAGTGGAGGTAAAAATACAACATTTGCCTATAAAATGTAAGTAAAAGTATAAAGTAGGATAACTACTGAAAATACTCAAGTAAAGTACAAGTACCTAAATGTTTTACCTGGATACGGTACTTGAGTAAATAGTCACATTCCACCACCGTGCATTAATAATAACTAAGGCATCTCCAGTTCGTCTCTCTGATCTTCCAAACCCCCTCTTCACATCCTTGTACCCCCAATCATATG